CATTTATTAGACTAGACAACTTCAGTCCAGACTAGAAAGCTTTAGTTCAATTAAAAACATTGTATTCTATTAATCTCCATAAAAAAACTCGGTATTTCAGACAAACATAGTCGATTTAGATTTTTATCATAATTTGCCTGCTAAAAAAGGTTCGATCATTATCTTACGCTATTAAAGTCTGTAAATCCACCATTTCGTATTTAATATGTATCCAATCCATACGGGACTAATATATCAACACACTCATTTGGCCTAAAACAAGCTGAATAATTTGAGGTGAACAAATAGGCCTAATCGTTCCTCAACTGTCTTACTCCAATTCATACGGAGTAGATGTTAAAAAACCCAACTGGACCATATTGACATATAACTCCATCCACATCCATTTTAGTGATGTAATCCATATCTTATACTCCGTAAGATGTTAATTTTTACTCCATGAAGGACAAACATTTATACTCAAACAATCTTGTATTCCTTTACTACCACATAGCAATTATAGATTTATAGCAATGCCAATATGATAAAAATAATGCCAATAAAATTTAAATAATTCTGTTTTTTTTACAGAAATATTTAAATAATCTAAGAAATTAAATATGATGAATCAAATAAACGAGCTCCTCTAGTCAATCCCACCATAACATTATCAATTACTCCTTTTAGACTGCATGGATGAAGGTAGGTTGATGGTTGACTACTTCATCTTTCCCCAACTCCAAGTTGTTCACTCCTTCATTACTAATAGGAGTGATGCTTCTTTTGGTGCACATCCTATTGGCAATGCAGGACAAAAAGCTCAAAAGCAAGATCACCCCCACCACCAAATACGCCTTCCGGAATGACCTGACGTCAGAAAACGACCACCCCGATGGCGGTGACGCTGATGATAGAGATGGGACACTATAATTGCTGTCACCCGGAAGAATTGGGACATTGTCATATGGATAGTATAGGGGTTGGAGTGGTAGAGATGACATTCTTCTCAAAAAAATTGGTTCGGTTTGGTCTTAAACTAGCAGAATGTATGGACACGGAATGATTTTACTTTGTGAGCTTGATTTAATTTGGTTATATGCGTTCTGAATTTTGATTAATATATATATAGAGGTTGCAAGAACATAGATTTGTGTAGTTTTCGAAATAATTAGGAAGAAACCTAAGTTGCCTAATCTACCTTAGAAAGTACTTCACCTGCAGCTTCTAAATTGGAGTAATAAATTATTACATGCAAATACCGTATCTGCTGAAAAAATTACTTTGAAAGATTGGGAAAATCAAAATGTGTGATTTTAATTGTCTTAGTTCGATACTTTCCTTAAATAAATTTAGACATATCTATGGATGCGAGGAATGAGAAAAGGAAGTGAGAAACTTTTATACGAAAATAAGTGTATAGTTAATCATCGAATAAACACCTATGCGAACAAAAACCTGTAAGAGAATAAATAGATTTTAAAAATAACATGCGCGTTTAGTATTTCTTTAGTAATAAGTGTATAACTACTGATTTGTTTCTCTTATAAGATGCATAATATTCAAATTTTTGTTAAAATTACATTTTTGATGGAAATGGTTGAATGGTTGAAATATTGGACTATTTTAGCTATTCTTTCCGGGTGTATAATTTTTAGAGATATAACTAATTAAATAAAGTTTGTGGACAAATATATACGACATTTCACAAATATATTTATCAACTTCATATAGTATATTGATCAATTTCATTTTGATTAATTTATGTATATTACTTTTTCATATTCATTCATTTAAAAAAGAATAATTTCATCAAAATTGACGGTTACATGAACAAATGTAGTAGCTTAATCCGGGTGGTTCCCTATCACGAACCGGCCAGTCTTCCATAAAAAATGGGGGCCAGGGGAATGAGAGTAATTGCTTTGGGGGCAGACCAACAACCACCGCACTAGCTAGTTTCAGTCCCAGTAAGGCGGATTGGAAATAGCTAACCGAGTGCAACGCCGGTCTTTGGGACCGGGACTTTGCATGTACATTCCAAGCTTCATACGACATACATAAGCATAGGATTTGGAACTCTGGAAGCAATCCAAGGACAGCAAGCAAAGGGAGAAAATGCAGATAACTAGGAACCCTTCCTGGTTGCAGAGCCAGGCAAAGATCAGACCCCAATTCATAAGCATATTATAGGATTATTGTTTTGTGCTTTGCATAGTTTTGAGCTATGCCTTCAATGCTATCATCGTCAAGACAAATGTTCTTTTAATCTCGTGAGTGAGATCATTTATCATAGGAAATGGAGGTAATGAGTTATTGAGTACGAGTGTATGAAACACCTTCAAAGCTATGGTTAAATTGCCCTTTCACTAACAAATGGCAAGTGGGTTATTTTGAAGTAATTTGATGAACGGTCTGAATTCATAAAGGTTGGTTATTTTCCAAACAAGTTTCGAAAAGTCGTCTCATATTTTTAAACTTCTCCATTACAATTTTGCCAAAAAAATACTTGTACATGACAATATCATCTTGATTAGAATTACATACAAGCAATTGTTCGGATCCGCCCAGTCACCAATATCTTTGTGAACTTGTCCCTAATTTGGCAAAAGAATGAACAAGGTTTTTTTATCAAATAGAAATTCTGATTATTAAACTTATACAATTTGGATATATATTTGGATTATTAGTTAAATATATCTTCAACTAATCAACTATCATCAAATTCACAAATCCATCCCATATTTTCATTTTTATTCAATAAAGAAAAAATCATACTCCCTCCGATTTTTAATAAACTTCACACTTTCCTTTTTGGGACGGTCTAAAATAAACTTCACACTTCCTTATTTCCTTTTTTGGCAAAGAAATCTACATCAAAACAGTGCCAAACAGTGCGAAACAGTGTCTCGACAGTGCCAAACAGTATATCAACAGTGCCAAACAGTGCCTCAACAGTGTACTCTACAGTAAAGTCAAATTTTTTTCCTTATTTTGTGTGAAGTCAAAGTGTGAAGATTAAATAAAACCGGAGGTAGTATTATATTTAATATTTTTCACTTCTTTCTAGTTTTAAGTTTACGAACTTGTATTGCTTATATCTTATTAGTATTGATAAAAATGTGTAATTTTGAAAAAAGAAAAACAAAAAGGAAAAGGAGAAAAGCATAATTGTTGAAAAAGATGAACTTTGTGTCTTTTTTTTATATAAAACTGAAAGAATAAGATGAATTTTTAAATTTGATGATAGTTACGAATAAAATAAGTTAATCTAATTTCTAACTTAAATTTAGAGCTCATTTGGTGATGTGTTTTTTGGCTTATCCACCAACTTTTTCATCAAAGACAAAGACGTAACTTTTAATTTTGGCGCTGAATTGTGTAATAATAATAAAATGTAAGCTTGAAATAATTTTTTTGATTGTATTGACTGAAGTAATTACTTTAGGTATTTTTTATAGGGAAATTTACCATTAACATGAGGTTATGTCATAATCAGAATCACCAGCTCTCGATTTTAACTGCATTGTATGTCGTATTATGATCAATGTTGTTATAACCCCTTCCATCAACAGTTGCCGGGCACTTTTTTTGGGAAAAACTGTGAAATAGTTCATTGAACTTTCATAAAACGATCAAATAAATCCTTATATAGAAAGCTCTGTCCGGGCATTACAATTTAGGGCAGTTCTCGGTGGAATTTTTTGATGAAAATTTATAAGCATCTTATTCAACAAGTCTAGTTTACTGAGTTTACTCATACCAAATTTCAGCTAAAACTCAATAGGGAACGCATTCCCTGACCTCCTCACCCTCCAATCCGGGGGAAACAAAAAAAAAACAGAAAAAACCCAAAAAAAAAAAAATGGCCCGAACCAGGCCGGGTCGTCATTTCTACAACCCAAGCCCGTCCCCGCTACTCCCTACGGTCCGGGTCAAAAAACGGTTTCGGGCCCAAAGCAACAGGCCAGGCCGATCCCGAATCCTGCACAGTAGTGGGCCGGGTCGATTCCTGGGCCGGGTGGCCCGAACTGAGTCCAACACAAGTCGTATATATTGAGCCAAACAGTAAGAGCCAATATGCAAATATGCATATTGAGACCTAACCGGCTAATTCTAGTCCCAAACTCATTTTCATTTAATAAATTTTGCTCACATTGTTTTGGTTAAGGCTTTGTCAATTTGGGAAGTAAATAGAATTTGTTATGATTCCGGTGTAAAATAAAAGAAGCAATGTATTTTAGTTTTCGTTGCAACAAATCTCCGGGGGCTATATGTTCTAGACCTGCACAAAAGCGGGTTCAGGCCGGGCTCGGGCCGGGCTTTTCATAAGTTTTCTGCCCATCGTGTGTGGGCAGGCCCGGCCCGGCCCGCAAAAACGGGCCTAACCCCATGTCCATACCCGCCCGTAAGAGCGGGCCGGGTAGTCCACCGGGCCGCCGGGCCCGGGAAGACTTTAAATTTTTCAAAACTATATAATTTATTTAATACTTTATAAATAATATTACAACATTTAAAAAATTGCTAATACGCTTATAATGTATATAAGCCTTTCATCACATACACAAAAAATATTTACACAAAAATAATAATGAGAAACTATATCTAAAATTTAAAATTCATGCACAAAGTATTATCGTTAAGTACAAAAATTGATATTATATTGGTTGGACTATTTGTTAAGAACTAAAAACTTAAATTTAAACATAATAAACTATAAATATGTATACAAATAAATTAGTAAATATAAAAATATACATGTGTACATGTAAATAAATACATAAACTAGTATATATAAAAAAATATATATGTATATATACTAAATGTAGCGGGCCGGGCTTATCGGCCCGAACGGGCCTACACCCTAACCCAAGCCCGCCCATATGTTGTTGCGGGCCGGGCACGGGCCGGGCCGGTGGGTAAATATATATGCCCAAGCCCGCTAATTTGTGTGGGCGGGCCGGGCGGCCCGGCCCGGTTTTGTACAGGTCTAATACTCCGTATGTTCCAAGCATCCCCTGATATAAGTAAAAACGTCGCTCTTTCTGTTGCTTCGAATGTGAACCCTTCATAGATAAATTTGGGTATGATGGACTTTTTCAGTTTGCATACATCCAGAAGTCTAGAACAACATCCAAAATTGCAAGACAAATAACCAAGCAAAACGTTTTTAATCTGTAATAATAAAAAATTCTAGTTTTTCACTCTAAAGTAAATGGTTGCAGCCGCATATCTTGTTTCCATTTCCATTACCTGGTAACTCTGTAGCTCTGGAAAAAGAAAAGCACTGAACTTATATTCCACAGTTATGCTAAATTTAGAATAATTCAGTGATCCAAATTGATAACACATACCTTTACCCTCTTAAGAAGTTCCTTTGCCTTGACATCATTCTTGAAATGATCACGCACAGTGATAGGGATGCGGGAAGACAGCTTGGTGTTAATAATAATGTTAACTATTATGGTCAGGTGTATTCCAGAAAGAGAAAACAGAATATTAAATAACTAAGTGTGGAAGTCGAGGGGGTGGAGGGGGAGTTATTATAAATAGCCAATTATTGTAATAAAAAGTCAGGCTGGTTTTTGGCTTTGGCTTGGGCTGGGACTGGGAGAGAGGCAACTCTTAAACTGCCAGACTCTGTTCTTTTCATATTCCTATCATTTATTCAACTCTTAAACTGCCAGACTCAGTTCTCTTTCATATTCCTATCATTTGGTATCAGAGCTCCGATCGTGAGGCCTGTCTATGGTTTTTACCCGACGAAACATGGAAGACAAACTTGAACTGTTGGAACGGGAGCTGGCGGAACAGCGTGAGGAGGCGAGACTCAGGGACGAGGAGATGAACCGCAAGTTCGAGCTGGTGATGCAGAAGCTCGATCGCGAATCGCGCAGTCGATCCAACTCCTCCAGAACTAGCGCGCGAAATCGCAGTCGATCAAAATCCACCAAGGCCAGCGCGCGGAAGAGTAGCTGCGACTCCAGTTCCACCGCAGGTAATCTGCGATCAACCCATTCTAAGCATGCTGATAACCGCAGTAGACTGATTGAGAAAACTGGGAGAAAAGTGGATTTGCCACTCTTTAATGGATCCGATGCTTACGGATGGACCATTAAGGTTGAGCGTTTTTTTAAACTGAATCACATTGCTGAGGTAGATAAGATTGAGTTGGTTACCTTGGCCATGGAAGGAAGAGCTCTGAATTGGTATCAATGGTGGGAGGAACACTCAAATGTTAGAACTTGGGAACTATTTAGACCGGCTTTATTAGAAAGATTTGAACCAGGCCTGGAACAGGATCCTTATGGTCCTTTGCTTAATGTGAAGCAGACTGGGAGTGTGATGGATTATCGGGATGAGTTTGAGCTAGTGGCAGGTCCGTTGAAGAACACTGATGTACAATTTCTAAAAGGAATTTTTATGAAGGGTCTGAAAGCAGAAGTTAGAGCTGAGTTGAAACTGAATCCAGTTAGTACTCTAACTGAAATCATGAATAAGGCATCCAGGGTAGAAGAAAGAAACCAGACTCTGAACCTCACAAAAGGTAAAGAGGAAGAAAGAAGAGGGTCAAAGGGTAATGTTTCTTCTCCATCTCAAAGATGGTTGCAAGAAAACAAATGGAAGGGAAACTTGACCAGCAATCAATCAGGTATGGATAAATCCAGTGCTGAAAAGAGCAATGAGGCAGTCAATAAAAATGCTGGAGTGAAGGAGACACACAGGCTAACCCAGTCAGAGTTGCAGGAATTGAGCAGAAAGGGCCTTTGTTTCAAGTGTGGGGAACAATGGGGAAAAGGCCACATTTGCAGAATGAAACATTTCCAGATTATGATGATAGATGATTCAGAAGAGGAGGAAGAACAGGGGGATTTCAGTTTAGAAGCTTCACCGGAGAGGGTGATCAGTGAGCCTTCAAAAATGCAGCTATCATTGATGAGTAAAGAAGGTCTGACCACTCCCAGGACTTTCAAATTGAAGGGTGAAATACAGGGATGCAAAGGAAAGAAGGAGGTTGTGATATTGATAGATTGTGGGGCTACTCACAATTTTGTGTCAGCCAGGGTGGTGCAAGAACTGGGGATTCCAGTACTGCACATTCCTGAGTTCAGGGTGGAGATTGGCAATGGTGAACAAATCACAAACAATGGAAGGTGTGAAGCTTTATCTGTTAGGGTGCAGCAGGCCATAATAACCCAGGATTTTTACACTCTGGATTTAGGGGGAACTGAACTTGTCTTGGGAATGGAATGGTTGTCAGGTCTGGGCAATGTGGAATTCAATTTCCATCAACTATCCATTAAGTGGATTGAGGGGAACCAGTCCATGATGCTTAAAGGAGATCCCCATCTGAGCAAAACTGTGGTATCTCTGAAAAGCTTGGTCAAAGCTATGCCTCAACAGGAGGAAGGGTACTGCTTATACCAATTTGAGGGAATCCAAGGAGTGGAAGAACAACCAAGCAACTTGGGTTGGATTCAGAGATTTAAGACAGAATTTCCTGAAGTTTTTAAACCTCTAGAGGGATTACCTCCCAAGAGGAACTGCGATCATTCTATAAATATCAAAGTGGGTTCAACCATTCCAAATATACGACCCTATAGATATCCACAATATTTAAAGAATGAGATGGAGAAGGTAATACAGGAGTTGTTAAAGGGAGGAATCATCCAGCCTAGCACCAGTCCTTATAGCAGCCCGGTGTTAATGGTTAAAAAGAAGGACGGGGGATGGAGATTCTGTGGGGATTACAGAGCCCTCAATCGAATCACAGTACCTGACAAATTCCCCATTCCCATCATCGATGAGCTGTTGGATGAGTTAAATAATGCCCAGATTTTTTCCAAGCTTGACCTGAAATCAGGATACCATCAAATACGAATGAAAGAAGAGGATGTGCATAAGACAGCAATCAGAACGCATGAGGGGCACTATGAGTATTTAGTGATGCCCTTTGGCCTTAGTAATGCACCTTCTACATTTCAGGCTTTGATGAATAAAGTCCTGAAACCTTTCTTGAGAAGATTTGTGCTAGTTTTTTTTGATGACATTCTGATATACAGTGCATCAGAACTGGAGCATTGGGAGCATGTGAGAAGGGTGTTGCAGCTATTAAAAGACAATCAACTAGTGGTGAATGAAAAGAAGTGCTCCTTTGGACAAGCACAACTGGCTTATTTGGGACATATTATCTCCAAAGAAGGTGTGGCAGCTGATCCTAGTAAGATTGCTGACATGTTGGACTGGCCATATCCTGTTGATGTTAAAGGGTTGAGGGGTTTCCTGGGGCTGACTGGTTACTATAGAAAATTTGTTCAGGGATATAGCAGAATAGCATCTCCACTGAATGACCTGCTGAAGAAAGACGGGTTTAAGTGGACTGAAGAAGCACAACAGGCTTTTGATGAGTTGAAGCAGAGAATGACTCAGTTGCCTGTGTTAAAAGTACCCGACTTCAACCAAACTTTTATCATTGAATCAGATGCATCAGGGAAGGGTATAGGGGCCGTCCTTATGCAGGAAGGAAGGCCAGTAGCATACATGAGTAAAACCCTATCCAGTAGAAATCAAGGAAAATCTGTCTATGAAAGGGAACTTATGGCTGTTGTGATGGCAGTCCAAAAATGGAGGCCATACTTGTTGGGTAGAAAGTTTGAAATCCACACAGATCAGAAGAGCTTAAGATTCTTGACTGAACAGAGAATACTGGGGGAAGACCAACAGAAATGGGTGGCTAAGTTGCTGGGGTACAATTTTGTCATAAAATATAAGCCGGGTGTGGAGAATAAAGCTGCAGATTCCTTATCCAGAAAGGGATTTTGTTATTCCTTGTCTGTTGTTACTTGCCAGGAGTGGGAAGGCCTTGAGGATGAATTAAGGGAGGATGAGAAATATAAAGCCATGCTGCAGAAATTGCTGACTGAACCAGATTCCATCCCACACTTCAAGGTTAGCCAAGGTCTTTTGTACTATAAGGGCAGATTGGTTCTTCCCAAGAATTCTGGAAGGATTGCTAGCATTTTGAAGGAGTTTCATGAGTCTGCTATTGGGGGGCATGCTGGGAATTTTAAGACAATGAAGAGAATCTCCTCTTTGTTTTACTGGGAAGGAATGAGAGCAGACATAAAGCAGTATGTTCAGCAATGTGATGTTTGCCAACGGAATAAGTATCAATCTCTGAGCCCGGCTGGATTACTTCATCCACTTCCCATTCCTAAGCAGATTTGGACAGACCTCAGCATGGATTTCATTGGAGGATTGCCTAAAGCCCAAGGTAAAGATACTATTCTGGTGGTGGTGGACAGGTTGACAAAGTTTGCACACTTCATAGCATTGACTCACCCTTACAATGCTAAAGGAGTGGCAGAATTGTTCATACAAGAAGTTGTCAGATTGCATGGATTTCCTAAGACCATTATTTCAGACCGAGACAGTGTTTCTTTGAGTGTATTCTGGGCTGAATTGTTCAAATTGGCGGGCACCAAGTTGAAATATAGCACAGCCTATCATCCACAAACTGACGGACAAACAGAGGTGGTAAACCGATGTGTGGAAACCTACCTTAGGTGCATGACAGGGAAAAGGCCCAAGCATTGGCCCCAATGGCTGCCATGGGCTGAATTCTGGTATAATACAAATTATCATGTATCAACCAAGAATAGCCCTTACAAAGCTTTGTATGGGCAGGACCCACCCGTTCTAATTCGTGGCGATGTGTCATTAACATCTGTGGAGGAGGTTAGTAGACTAACAGCTGCCCGGAATGAAATTCTAGATGAATTAAAGCACAATCTGGAAATTGCTCAGAACCAAATGAAGCAATTGGCTGATAAGAAGAGAAGGGATGTGCAGCTGGCAGTGGGGGATTGGGTCTATTTGAAAATCCAGCCCTATAAACTTAAAAGTTTGGCTAAGAGGTTAAATCAAAAACTAAGCCCGAGGTTTTATGGACCCTTCGAAGTGATTGAACAGATTAACCCAGTGGCCTACAGATTAAAGCTACCGGAAGACTGCAAGGTTCATTCAGTTTTTCACTTGTCACTGCTGAAGAAGGCTGTCCCTACCTCTACCCCAACACAACCGTTGCCAAAATGCCTAACAGAGGAGTGGGAGCTGCAAGTCAGGCCAGAGTCTATCAAAGGGAGCAGGGTTAACTCAACTGGTGAAGCTGAAGTGCTGGTTCATTGGGAGAATCTGCCTGATTTTGAAGACACTTGGGAAGATGCCCAGCAGATGCAGCACCAATTCCCTGATCTCCACCTTGAGGGCAAGGTGGTCAATTCAGGGGGGAGTGATGATAGGGATGCGGGAAGACAGCTTGGTGTTAATAATAATGTTAACTATTATGGTCAGGTGTATTCCAGAAAGAGAAAACAGAATATTAAATAACTAAGTGTGGAAGTCGAGGGGGTGGAGGGGGAGTTATTATAAATAGCCAATTATTGTAATAAAAAGTCAGGCTGGTTTTTGGCTTTGGCTTGGGCTGGGACTGGGAGAGAGGCAACTCTTAAACTGCCAGACTCTGTTCTTTTCATATTCCTATCATTTATTCAACTCTTAAACTGCCAGACTCAGTTCTCTTTCATATTCCTATCACACAGGCTGTCCATAACACATGAAAGATGTTTAAGAAAATATATATTCCTAAATGTAGGTCTGTGGTTTTCTCACTTAAAATGAAAAACCTAAACCTAATTCTTATAAGACACCTAACTTCGACTCCGTCGTCCAAGTACAAATCGAATGTTTGAAAAGATACTAGCAATGTTACCATATGCTTGGATCTGGGAAAATACTAGGGAAAGGAAAGAAAATGTTAAAGTACAACTCCATAAAAGTGACTCCATTCATATATGGACAAAAAAGTACTACCTCTGTCTCGATTAAAGGTTCCCATTGCAAAATGGCACCGTTATTTAGACAATAATTAAATAAGGTAATTCAAGTATATATTTATTGAGTTTGACATAATATTTCATTTTCCTTACACTTTCTTCCCTTCCAAATATCACTATATTTTCCTAGCTATTTCTATCCTAAAAATTTCCAAATAGTGGCAAAAAAGTGTGGACCTGCAGGATCTTGTTCAGCGCTATTGCGAGAGCAGGTTTAAGGTCAGCAGGATGCAAGCTACCACATTCATAATCAGTAATAAGTTCCTCAAAAGTTGAGAAGGTCCTGCACATGAAAAAAAAGTTAATAAAAAGTGCTGCGATGGAGAATGGGTGATAATCACTTCTCCTCATAATGTTCCAACTGGACCAGCAGAGCAACCATATCCAATATTAATGAAAATTAAGCTGAAGTAAACTACTATGAAGCAAGCATATCCAACATGTCTTACTTGTTACCGCCATTTTCTAGACTTCGCTCCACCTTGAACTCATTAAACCAGGGAAAGATGATGTACTTGATGTAATCTAGACACGGTTTTTTCTCTACAACCTTGGGTGGGCAAAAAGCCTTCTTTATTTTGAGATTCACATCTGCCTATAAATCAAAGCAACACAAAAAATCCAAGTGTCTGTTATGAATGTCATGCCCGGTGCACAAAGGCAGCCCGCATGACAAGAATCAACGGCATCAACTATGCACTACCTCTTCATCTTCCATGAAAATGGAAGATGATGGATCACTTTTGGACATCTTCTCTTGACCCTCCTGCAAGCCAGGCAGCATGTCTGCATGCCAAAATATAAGTGAAGGGAATATATAAAGCTCCCAAACAAATTTAACATTTACAGAATTGTTACTATTCCTGTCCCAAGAAAAATCAGTTTAAACAGGCACGGAAATCAGGAAAATAAAAACTGCATTCATAAGAAGGGAGAAAAATCATCTGAACCATATTCTGATTTCGAAAATAAAGTGATGTGGAAGTATACGATGAGACAAAATGATAGGCTTGTTCTTCCTCTTTATGGCTTCACAGTATTCTCTTGCAAGCACATTCACTTTTCGCTGGTCCATTCCCAATTGACAGATATCAGCCTGCTAGGAAAAGCGCATGCAGTTGATTGCGCACACATTATATTCAAGGATGTATGCATCTAAATGTTAAAACAATAAAAACCTGTGGGTATTCAAGGGCAGCCCGGTGCATGAAGGCAGCCTGGTGCACTAAGGCTCCCCGCATGACAAGGATCCGGGGAAGGGTCAGACCACAAGGGTGTATAAGGGGCAAGCCTTCCCCCTGTCCATTTTTTTTACAAGAGACCACTCCCAAGACTTGAACTTGTGACCTCTCGGTCACACAGAAACACCTTAGTGTTCTGTTTAAGTAAAAAAATCACAGATAGTACTGGTCTTTAATAGGGAAATGACTTTGCACTTAGAAAGTTACATCCAAAATCCAAATACACTAAAACATGTCCAAAATAAATAAATAAATAAATAAATAAATAAGTAAATAAAGAAGAGCTGTAATAACAATAGAACAGAAGAATATTTAACAATGTTGAATGTTGAGCATTATCCGTTTCATGCCATGTCCAGCACCAATACTCTTTAACTACACGTCTATTAGTCTACTGCCAAAGTACACTATGAATGGTTTGAGGCAGGGTAGTCAAAGGCAAGCAACCTGTCAGGCGCAGAAAAAGCGCATGAAGTGCACAAGGCGCAAAGGCACCCGCCCGCTCAAAACCCCTAGGTCAGAAGGATTAGGATGTGATGTAAGATACACACATATTTGGCCAAATGACAGCATTTGACTATTTAGGTATCACACACAAATATAAAGATTCTTTTCATATGAGTAGGAAATATAAAAACTATCAACGTAATCAAAATATAGAACAGATACTACACTTGATCTTAGCCAAAAGGCCAAGAAAGATACCAGTTATCAAAATATATGAACAAATAAATAATTTTTTTCATACAAATTCAGGCAAAAAAATTGACTTTCATATCTACAAAGATTACCTTGAGGAAAAATATGTCTGCGCACTGCATGCATGGGTACAATATTTGGGCAGCAGTCAATTCATCTTGTTCAGAGCGACCCATAATTTGACAGCATCTGACAATTACAAGTAGTGAGAAATTGAGACATTTTGCAGCGACTGTTTTCCTTTTATACGAAGAATATGGATGTTCACTACTAACCTCACTATTCTAGGAAGCGTATTTCTCCGTGCAATGTCCATAACAAGTGGCCAGTACTCATCAGCTCTAGAATTGATCTCTTCAGAGGACCATAAAAACTCAATATTGTTACTCTCCAGATTCATTCCCACAGCTTTCCATATCTCAATCAAATACTGACCAACAACTTGAATTTTCTTCAAGTCCCCGCCCATTTTATTGTTTAGTTGAGCAAACCAATCTGCAATCCAAATCTTTACTTTACAGCCCGAAGATACCAACTTGTTAACGTTAATTGTCTTCATAACACCCTGTTCATGGAGAATTTGATGTTGATGTGGTGAGAATAAAGTCCAGAGAAAGACACACATAATCACACATCCAACCACATTCGTTGATCTATATATTATTGATTTTTAGTGATGATCTTTCAAACACACAGCAGTATTTAGAAATTGAGGAAATAAAAGAACAAGTTAATCACAATCAGTGGTTCAATATCCACTGGGGACCAGTAGGAAGTGGACCAGTCAGTGCGTACGAGTTTTTGTGGGCCTAGATGGCTAGGTGCTGCCTAGAACCAAAGCCTATTTGAAGTAATTTTGTATTTGAATTCTTAATATAATCAATTTAAATATATTAAACCTTCAAATATAGTAACATATGGGACCTATTCAGCCCCTACGCTTGTGGCATTGAGTATCTCATTTAGCCTTTTTCTTTTTTTCTTAATTAAGCCTACTAAACAAATACTCCATCTGTCGCACTTTGTTTGTCCCGTCTTTCTTTTTTAAGCCATCCAAAAATGTTTATCCCATGCCAAAGTTGGCCAATGTTTGTGGCTCAATCATGCTTACTTTGACAGGTTCAATATCAACCACAGAATCCAACTATTCCTTAATATTTGTGCCAAACTCCATGTCCCAAACTAAATGGGACGGAGGTGGTATTTTCATACATTCATATACACTATTATATACAGAAGTACATAGCATAATTGATACCATCGATCAAACATTCTGAAATTAAGGGTTCTACTACATGATTACAAATTAAAACCAACAATCTAATACAGCACCAAACTTTCATGACGGATAAATAGAATATATAAGGATTATTGTTTTTATAATAATACCCTGGTTTGTATAATCAGATTTACTCGGGATTAGGGATTTGTTATTTGGAATTAAGGCTCAGTTTCTTTCAAAAAGAAACAAAAACCCAAATATTCCAACATGGAGACTGTCTCCTTTTTCATCCTATGCGCAGATTATGTCATGTGCTCATTGGGCATTGACAAAATTAAAATGACATACCCCCTTACCACTAAAATCATTTCAAATACATATCTACACACAGATATAATAACTACACCTTTACTGATATTGGAGCTACTGCAATAAATGAGTGATATCCATTGTTAAATTACGTTCACAGAGCTCATGAGGAAGACACAATCTTCAATATGTTGCAAGAAGATAAATGCAATTCAAAAACCATACGAGTCATGTAAACAAAATGCCAAAAACTGAGAAAGGTCATGTCACAGACACTTTGAGCAAAACAGTTTTATTGAAATGGCATAACAGAAATTACAGACCTGAGCAATGTGCATCCGACCAGAGGGTTCAAATCCATCATAGCATATTGGCTGAGGCTTATTCGCCAACAGATTCTTCAACTCTTCTTCCTGGATACACTCTTCCCCTATGCTCCTAACAAGATCAAATCTCTCCTCCAAACTCATCCTTGATTCAAAAAAAACTAACAATGAATCACAAAAAAGCCCATAGCATTGGGAACAGTTGAACACACATACACATAGGAGCAGGGGAAGAGAATTTCATTACTGGGACTCGGAATTGCACGGGCTAGAGGATGAGGAGTGCAAGGATAGTGATCCCAAAGCATCCAACTGGGGCTCTTGAATGTCCATGGATGACTGCTTCTGCAAACAGAAGATCATGAGCAGGGACGAACCTCTATATTTAAAGTCCTAGGGGCGAAAATATAAATGGGCCTAGTTTTAATATAAATAAAATTGTAAAACCCTTTTCTGTCTGATTGTGAAGCAAAGTCATCAACTATAGCTTCACAATCAAGCTTTTCTAACACATAGTGAAAAAAAAATGTTAATTGTTAAAAACTGGTCACATAATCAATAAAAGAAAATGTTAAAAACTGTAACTTTGTAAAAGTGTAAAACAATGGTCAATGGCCGAACTGCCGGAACATGTACCTCAATGCCTAAAAAACAGAACTCTTGAAGTTTTGGAAAGTTGGGGTTGGAGACCTGCAGACTGGACGCCGATGTGGTAGGCTGAACTGTTGAAGGCTGCGTTAGTTTACAGAAGGTTTTTTTTTTTTGAAGAATGACAGGAGGGTTGAAGAAACAGGAGTTTATGGAAAACTTCTGTGCGTGTTAGTTGCTCCGTGCTTTTGTTATATGGGTTTTGGGCTAGTTGGATTCACAAAATTAATTAGGGAAAACTATCAGATAAGTCCATGTACTATGTCGAAGAAGTCAATTAGGCCCCCGTACTTTACAAACACTATTAAAAAACGTTCAATTAAGCCCTTTCGGTCGGTAAGTAACCGGTTTCTCGGTTAATTGAAAGGGCTTAATTGAACATTTTTTAATAGTTCGAGTACTTAATTGAGTGTTTGTAAAGTATGAGGGCCTAATTGACTTTTTGGGCATTGTATGAGGGCTTATTTGATTGTTTTCCCAATTTAATATTTTGAGCTGAAAATCAACCTACTCAAACATAACTAGTTGGGCTTTTGGCATACAAAAAACTCATTTATTTTGGGCCTAGACCCCCCTCTCCCAGGGCCGCCCGAACCGGAACCGGCCCGGCCCGATCACTGTTTGAACCGGCCCGGCTCGGCGGCCCGACCCATGGACGGTTCGGGTCGAACCGGCCCGGTGGCTACCGGTTTTTTTTTTGAATTGTTTTTAAGTTTTTGGGTTGGGCTGGGTATTTTGGGCCATTTGAGGTGGTTTGGGGGTGAGGGGAGAGGGTTGGGGGTTAAATAGGAGAAGCCAAAAATATATATATAAACCGGGTTGAACTAGCCCGGCCCGGCCCGGTCCGGCCTGGAACCGGTAGCCACCGGTTCGGGCTCGGGCCCTACTTTTACAAACCGAGGCCCGGCCGGTTCAAGGCCCGAACCAGGCCCGGCCCGAATCGAGTGCAGCCATAGGTATAAAAAGGAAATTCAAAATTCACTCTTACTCAATCGAGACTGCAGCTTGGCTGCTCTGCTTGCTCTGAAGAACAAGATGCAACCTTGAACCTTGTGACTGTTCATTGACAAAAAAAAAAACAGGTCGGATAAGTTAAGGTATGGTCACTATGGTTATGAGAACTAAATTGGGTTTTTCGTTTGTTGGGAAATGAATTTGGCAAACTGATTCTTTATCTGTGAAGTGGGAAGTGACTTCACTGAAGTAAAATGGAAGTGGTTGAGCTGTGGACGGATTTGCAAGTTCTGGATGTGAGTTACAAACTTACAATAGTTTGGGCAGGGTTAGCATAGCCCATAAATTCAGGTAAAAATTAGGCTAAAGAAATTTCTATCTAGTGTGAACAAGTTACTATTTTGTTCTTCTATGTTCTACTACTATAATATTTTTTTCTCAAAAAAAAAAAAAATGGAAAGAAATACACGAGTGTTATGAAATCCAAAAAAGAGAGAAGTCGGATAGTGCAAACAGGGGCGTAGCTAGGGGTGGGCCAGACCTGGCCCTGGCCCAGCCCAAATTTTGAAAATGTCTTTATTTTTAGTGTAAAAAATTCCATGTAATTTTTTTTTTTCAAAAATGTTCTTTGCACCGGCCCAGTGTCCTGGCTCCGCCCCTGAGTGCAAATGTGCAATAGATAAAAGTTATAGAGAAAAAATGTTTCAAAAGAATGACGGGGTAATAGTACAAACATTAATTTTGAAACATGTAATCATAATTGGAGGTCAGGTGTGATAGTACACAGGCAGAAACAATCTGAAATAGTAACAATAAACAGCAAAATCGAGAGAAATAGCAAGTGTTTATTGAAGAGAACGAGCAAGTCTGAGTACAAATGATACGGGACTGTTAGTGAAGCCCCACTCTCCCAGTCACAGCCAATTCCCAAAATAACAGCCTCCTTATTTAGCTATTTCCCTTACTATTTATATTAAAACATCCACGCAGGGATAAAACAGGCTACCCGCTTACTATTTAATTATTTAAACTCCCTATTCCTCCTCCTGTAGACTTTGTTGAAGTATTGAATAGGCCCCTTATTCCTATCAATACTCCCCCCCTGAAAATTCACCTTGTCCCCAAGGTGAAAATCAGGAAATTGTTCTGTTATTGCTTGAAGCGACTCCCAAGAATCTTCAAACTGTGGGAGATCCTTCCAATGTATTAACAGCTCCATCTCTCCATCTTTATTTCTTCTGGTATCCAGTACCTGGTCTGGCAACACCTGCAATTCCCATTCTTCATTCAAACATTTGGGTAACGGTTGGAACACAGTAGTAGGTGTAATGGCTTTCTTCAATAATGAGGTGTAATGGCTTTCTTCAATTTGGTTTGGTCCATTTTTATTTTATTTTTTTCTGTTACCCAAGGGGCGTCTGGGGTCTTGGGTCCTAGAGTAATCGTTGAAAGTTGAAGCTCACTTCATTGAATTTCGAACTTGAAACCTTATATAAGAGAGACTGAGTCGGCGACTAGCTGTACTAAACTGCTTCCTCGATCAAATGTCGAACTTGAGAACTTACACACATATGGAGTATTAAGGAAATAAATTTATCACGGGTAAAATTTACTGTTTTGACACTGTTTCGACATTGTTTGACATTGTTTCACATTGTTTGCACTGTTTGGTACTATTTTGATGTAGATAACTCTCCATTTATAGAAATGAGAACTTTTTTTTGGACAGCTTAAAAAGGAAAGCGGGGACTTTTTAGCGGGAGGAGGGAGTATATTACTCTATAGAAATATGAAGGACCCATACACATGAAAATTCGAAATATATGATTGATATTAGTTTCAAAAATATGAACAAATTTTAACTAGTACAATAATTTAGTGCCTGACAAATTTCGTGAGACAGAAACAGGAGTCATCCATGACTATTTTGTGCAATGAAAACAGCGTCAATTCGTTATTTGACACGTAACTTGCAAATTTCATAAAGTTCGATTTTCTGCAACTTAATTGTTCTGTTATTGCTTGAAGCGACTCCCAAGAATCTTCAAACTGTGGGAGATCCTTCCAATGTATTAACAGCTCCATCTCTCCATCTTTATTTCTTCTGGTATCCAGTACCTGGTCTGGCAACACCTGCAATTCCCATTCTTCATTCAAACATTTGGGTAACGGTTGGAACACAGTAGTAGGTGTAATGGCTTTCTTCAATAATGAGATGTGGAAGACTGGGTGCACCCTGCTTTCAGCTGGTAATTTAAGTTTAAAAGCAGCTTGGTACGTCAAGGAGTGTTAATAATTTTTTTTCTCTTTTCAAACCCGCTAATTGATTTCCATTTTCAAATCATCCATACTTGAGGATTGTATTCTTAACTTGCAGGAGATTCTCATCTCCCCCCTAATAATTCATATCAATCCATCATGATGACTGGAATTGCAGTGGTACAAACAAAATGTCTTTAGTTCACATTAAAGTCTAGGAATTTTAGACATGAAAGTGGATCACATGACTCGATCACAAGTAAACTCAGACCAGATTAGTTGGACAAAATGTGGACACTTTAAACATGAAGAAATATTCACTTCTCATGATAAAAGCTACACTAAAATATTCTTTTTGACTCCTTGCATAATACGGAGTATTCTGTATGAATTCAAACAAACTTTTTGAGGAGCCTGCCCTCTACGAATCCTTCATCTAATAGGTAAGAACATAAATGATTTATTAACAAAAAGGATTTCTATTGTTTTTAGCGAATCACAAGAAATTGTATTGAATTCAATATCTGGACTATAAGAATATTTATGAATTTCAAAGATAAAAAGAAATAATTTGAGAAACTTGTTCTTAGTATCTTAGAAAAATATTTTAATTTATAGTTTCTCCTCCAGAAATGTCTTATCCCATGGTGAAAGAATGATTGCAAAAATTATGAGAAAAAAATATGGATCCTCTACAAACTTACCTTCCTATTGTGCAAGGAAGGAATACATATAACTTTAATCACATAATTATTAATTTAAATGGAAATGATAAACAAATTGATGTTGAAATTTGAATAAAGGAAAGATAATTAATTTTAACCACATGTTTATTAATTAAAATGGAAATGATAAAATTATGAATATGTATGTCAACTTGTGTTGTCTTTTTTGTTCAAAATGCAAATGAATACGCAATTTCGTACTTAAGATCCAATAAAGGCAAAAATACACTAGAGAACTTTGGCAAGTAAATAACCATTTTCAGTTTGAACGTGAAGATGGATTGCACACATAAAGCACACTACTCATACATTTTAGTTACTTAAAAATAAGAATTACTTTGAACATCAATGATTCATTACATACAAAATGGATAAAGATGTAAATATGTGCGAACTCATTTGCATTTTGCATGAAAAACATGCTACTTCTTAGAACATATGTGATATTATATATTCACTAAAAAGAAGATTGTATTACAAAAACCTTATTATATGTTTTATCTTACACGTTGTTGTATA